TATTTATTTAGTTTGTTTACCAAGTTGGTGTGCTTAAAACCTTGAAATTTACCGATAACCTACATTTATGGTTTAAGACAGAACCAAAAAAAACTTTGTTTTCAACTCGAATGATAATAAATTTGTATTTTTTTGGCCTCTTAACAATTCTATATGGTATTGTTATTAATAGCTAATTTTTAAATCTAACGAAAACAAACTATAGTACAATTTACAATAACTTCTACCTTATGTAATATATTACAATTTTTTTACTTTATTAAATCATATTCATTAAAAAAAAAAATATATTTACCTTTGTATCTAATATAGTTTTTTATTAAAATTAAAAAATGTTATATTTAAAAATATTTACTATATAAAATGACAATTCGTATTGTATATTGCTTTTATTTTTAGCATATTTTGTTATGCCGGTGGCAAGGCTTCTGATTGTTGATCGTTACTTATAGAGGATCATTATTAAAAGCTGAATTGCAATCTACATAATATATTATACTATAATTAGGTAAACCCAGAATTTTAGCTAGGAGCTGTTATTGGTGTTGCGTTAGGGTTGGATTATTAAATACACGTAGTCAAGTTTATCACAAGACCAAAAAGCAGAGTTCAAAATGTTTGTACATACATGTCATAAAAGATAACCACAAAGTACTTCTTGTAAAGTACTTCTTAATAATATTTTTCTCTATCTGCTGTCGACCTCACACATTGCCTCCTCCTCGAAGACATTGCCAATTTCGGACTACTCATTCTCATTGCATTCACATATAAACTAAAAATTACATTTTTTTTTTCCAAATAGGTAGTTATACTATTTTATTAAATGAAAACTGTAACTTTGTCGTGAACATTAAAATTATAAGCATCACAATATTTAAAATTTAATTTAAATATAATCTATTATACTAAAACATAGATCTTGGGTTTAGAACAAATACAATATTGGTAGTTATTAACATTACTTAGTGAAAATCTTGTAGGACATTATATTAGATGTATTTATATCAGTTTTCCGGGAAAACAGTAAGAACCGTGTTTTTACTTCCGTCAATAAAGAATGATAAAACATCTAATGGTAATCCTTTTAGTTTTCTTTTAAGCATTATTCCAAATTGATCGCATTGTTTTTGAAATATTTCCATAAATAGATCGTACGCAATATCATGATCTACGTCAACGTGTGAAATGTCGGTCCATGCAGATTCATTAGGATATATACTATTATTTAATGTTGTCAAAATGTTATTTACTTGATCTGTTATTATTTTCAAAACTTCTTCGATCTGCTCCATATTAGATTTACTTATTTCACTGTACAAAGTTAATACTTGGTTTAATGCACTGTCTTCGATGTAACTGATTTTAACTATGTTTGCTATATTTTTCCTAAAGGAGTTATGATAGTATACGTTCGTTTTAGAGTCATTGGCATTTCGATAAGCCGTAAGTTCCACCCAAATAAAAGAGTATAGTTTTATCCTGACGATGTGTATAAACGTTTGCTGAAATTCAATGTGCTTAAACGGTTCAATCGTCAAGTCTCGAGTGACTGTAAACTGTCTGTAAACATTTTGGAAATCGACACCGAATACATTGGCTAACATATTCCATTTAATAGTAACATAGGCTATTGCTTCGTACACAAGCCATTGGTCGCGAGAAATTGGCCATGCATTTATCAAGAATAAATGTTCGACGGTGATAGGTAACGCGGGTTTCTTACTTCTATAACGTGCATGTTTTTCGTTGTTAAACTTAAAACACTCCTCCATCCATTCGTACGCGAATGCATTCATCGTCATTGGAAATTCAGTGTTTTTTAGGTACAACAAGTCCGAAGTATATCCGTGTTGCACACACATACTCGCCAGATCGGTTAAGGGTTTTCCAAACTGTCTTAGACCCCGCACAGTTTCTTCCATTATCTCCAATGTCCACGCCTCGTGGCCATAACTATTATTCGGCGTCCAAAGGTTGACGTGCAATTTCCAGAGCCAGCCGTGCACCATTGTCTTCCCATCGTATGCCATCGCTATCATATTGTATACATGCTCAGCAATGTCTTTCGTATTCCGTTTGGCGGTTACGCACAACTTGTACAGCAATAACACAAAGTCTGTGCACTGAACTTCTTGCGTCTTACGGAAGTATTTCAGTTGAGCGAGTATTTTATCGTTCATGGGTAAAATAATTGGCAGAGTAAAACTACAAGTTCATCGTGAGAACCAATGTAACTGCTAATTGTGTACCTCAGTACTAGACCAATGTAAGTTAAATATGCTGTTTTTATATTTTACTTGGGTAAATACTTGGGACAATGTATAGTCCTGATTAAGATGCAACACCTCGCATATTTCTTTTTTATCGATTTTACAGGACAGATAAAATCAGTTTCAATTACTATATTAAAATGTAACCATGTTGAGCAATGTGTATGTTAGCAAGATAAACTGTTTAGGCTGTATCACAATGATTTACAATGTTTTAGGGTATTTTTAATCGAACACAAAGGAAAAATCAGAGCCAGTTATTGTTATTGCTTATTAAATTTAATTACAGCTGTGTTATTTTTAATTCACCTTTGTTTCTCCAGGAAGCTCCAAATCCGCGAGTGCGTTGCTTACTTCGTCGGCACTAGGTCTAAGTACAAGTTCAAATAATGAAGATGATGTCACAATCGTTAAACAGAAAACCAACTCGAATATAAAAATTATAAGAATTGAGCTTGGAGCTGCCATTATGATTGATTAACTATTGCTAGTGCTTCGATTATTCTTATAAAGTGCTTTATGTTGTGATATCCGAAAAAAAATTATGGAATTATAATTTATAAAATAAAGGATCTAGAACATTTTAAACTTTGTAAGATTATTCGACTTCTGCTGTCGTTGGAGACGTTTAAATAAAAAAGACCTAGCCTACTATTTTAATATTAATTGTGTTTTCCTGTAGTTTGGTGAATTTTTTTTTTAAATATCATGCAACTTCTATTGGTCTAACTATACAGGGTAATAATAAGTGTACGTCACATTTTGTTCTTAGCTAAAAAGATCTAAAAAACATCTTGAAATTGTTTGTAAAATATATTTTGGCCACAAACTATTCAAACTACAAGTTCATACGATTTTTACTATACTTAAACATTTAACAACGTTTGTTGTACTTTATGGTAATACCATAATGGAAATAACGTCTATCTGATAACTAGTTTTGAACAATAACTTATAAATTCATTAAAACAAAAAGGTATTAAGATAAGAGTCTGGAGGAGACTGTAATGTGATTTTTATCCCTATCATCCCTAATAACTTTCATTGATAATAATTTAAAATTTATTTATTCAAAACGGCTTATAAACTAGTAATAATTTGTATTACAAGAAATTTTGCAATAAGAATTATATAACATAAACTGATCTTCAAACCAAGTCTTCGATCTAATCCTTTATATATTTATTTTGATAATTTGGTACATAAATAAAACAATAAATTATTTAAATAAACCATTAACCACAATTTTTTTTTGTGGTCAAGAGTATTTAATTATTTAATTTTTTTATTTCTTTACAATGTATAACCACTAGTGTCGCTTGATTTTTTTCTACATAAAGAGTTTTAATAATCTTATAAAAAAAAACAATTTGGCTGATACACAAGTTTGATCGCGCTATATTATATAATATGTAAACTACAACAAGTGTTTTTCGATGACGTTTTTTAAAATGTAAGTTTTCGATATAATATTGACGATTTGAGAGTTTACAATATGTGTAAATACAAAATTTGTCTAGAATGTTTGATACCTATTTGGCTTTTACATAAAATGCATACAATTATTGTTTATGTTAATAAATGAATACTTTATTCAAGTCCAATGCGTTTTCATAATGTAAATCCAAGTGGTTTTTCGGCTCTGAATCTCTAAAACGGTACCTTGAAAAATGAGATTTAATTGGAGTTTTAGACTTTTCAAAATTCGACCTACTTGATCCAATTATTTCGATTGCAAATGGCCAAAGAAAAAGCAATTGTGGAGTCTATTTATACCTTCTTACCCGTAAAGCTTCGCATGGAAACTAATTTGTACATTTATACACATTTTTCACAAGGTTTTTGGGTCTCCGTACTTGGTTACAGTCCATAAAAAAAAATATGCGCAATTCTCTTATTTTGGCACCTACTGATCACGTGCACAGTTTTTATTTTAGTCCATACATGTAAGTGACACACAAGAATATCAACGTGTGTCGATTGTCTTACGCATGTCTTATCCTAAAGTAAATAATTTGAAAACGTGCCATTTTTTAAATCGAAACCAAAATGTACACCTGAGTTGTAAAAAAAAAAAACAATAGCCCGGTATACTATAATACTAGATAAGTATAGCGAGTACATGCAGTGAATTTGAAAATGTCAACTTTGACAAAATATTTTTTTTTTCCATATTTTATACAAAAGCGTTACTAGGGTCGAGTACTCACGATGGAATAATTTCCAAGTTAAATTTATCCATTAACAAAAAAATGTTTTCACACAATATTTTATTTTAGATACCTACCCGTTGAACTTTTAGTTAGGCATTTTTTTTTTTTTGGTCAATATTTTGGTAGGTTAAAATAAAACATTGCGTCAGATAAATCCTAAAAGTTTAGACTGCAACAAAGGTGAATGAAAAATGATTTGTTTGAAAACATGCTAATCGTAGGTATAATAATATATTATAATATGAATGCCAAACTAATTACTGTGATGGTGTATAATGTTCTAATTTACACACTGTCAATGCAATCGATATTGTCTCACATAGATATAATCTAGGGTTAAGAGAAACTGCTAAATATTATAAAATTAAATATTAAAGCCCTACACATGTTTTATCCTTTTATGGCAAAAAAAAAAATAATAACCCATAAGTAGATTATATATGTCGGCTGTAAATTAATGCAAAATAAAATACAACTATAATTTTAAGAAGATTCGATCGTCAGTTTATATTTTGTTCGGACTAATTATTCTAAATAAAGTGTCGATAATAATAATAATAATAATAATAAAAAATTACAAATAGAACATAATGTAGTATATAACAAGCACAAATACTGATAAACAAAAAAATAAAATAAAAACGTTAACCTAAAATTGCAAAACATAATATTTAATAATATAATATAATAATATATAGTATAACGATACTGAATAAAGGAGCTACAATATAATAATAAAAATATTAATGATAACATAATTTTACAAAAGTATAATAATTAATCAATTATTAGTCTATGTAAACTTGTAACGATAAAGAATCATAATTATTAATTTTATGATACGGTAAGTACCGAGCTTCAAAAAAAATAAAATGTCAGTATTATGTAGATCAGTAATAAATACCACTACACGTCTACTCACTTAGTATTACTATGTTTACACGACAATAGTATTATCATCTACTAAATTTTTGTCTAAAAAAAAAAAACAAATATACATCTACCCGAAAGAAATAATACATTCTCTTAATAATAATATTAATAATTATAATAATAAAATACTAATAATAAAAAAAAGTTCTAATGTAAAATATATAATAATAATATATTAGCAGAAAAAAATCAATCCTACAACGGTTTACTAAAAGAAACTTTTGTTACTTTTAATTAATGTAAATGTTTTTTATTATTTTTATAATATTTTTTTTAATCATTTCCTTAACGATCTGCCTACTCGATGCTTAAATATGTCGAAGACATTACATACCTATAGTAACCTAATATTATACAATATAAATTCTATAAAAAGAGGTACACGTGTAAAAACTAATTAACGCTAAGTTAATAATAAATAACGCTATAGTCGTACGAGTCATTTTCGATAAAAAAACAAAAGTAGAAAAAAGATATATCTATTACTATGTAAAAAAATAATAATAATAATCATAATACAAAAATTGTTCTAATAGCGATTACTATAGTATAATATTATGTACTGTTCTGTCGAACAATCAGATTCAAAGGTCATAATATTAAAAATTCACGAAATCGCATCTATTTATCTAAATTCAATAATAATTAACATGTTCGACGATGGCATTATACTATTTTAATATAAACAAATTGAAATTACTAATTAAACTATAAAAAAAAACCTACAAAAAATAATTCTGTCTTTTACACCTAGATTAATTAAAAGAATCATACTACAGGATAGACTGTGGAGTAAAAAAAATTAAGATAGTATTATCAAATAAAGTAACATCACAAAAAAAGGAGATTTCTTTTTTTTTATAATTTTTTTTTTTCTTTTTTTATAATTTCACTATAGTTACTAAAAATATATATTAAAACATTATCCTAATTATTGCGAAAGGTAAAGGTGAGTCCATTTCAGTATCCGTGATTGTCACTTTAAAAAACTTTAAATGTCTTTTTTTGTTTTAAATACAATTAATAAAGAATATTATACAATATCATTCGATTTACTACCTTGGCGTTGAAAAATTATTCTAATAAAACTTACAAGATATGATATTATTTCATTTAATTAATTTAATTACACTGTTACAATAAGTATATAAAAAAAGAAAATCGAAACGTTTCATTTAGTATTTATATTTTTTTATAAACGATCTGAAATATCTAATCTACCCTGTGTGTACAACATTGTAATTTATACGAGTTAATTTGTGATGTAAAATTTGTTTGCGCTTTCGAGAAGAAGAAAAGAAAGATAGAGAATGGTAAAGTAGCACGATTGTGAGTATATTATGTGAAATAAGAAATAGACGTAGTGTGCGAAAGTGAGTCAAGTCGAAGGGAAGATGGAAGAGTAGTAAACAAATAGAAAATCGTGTGACGGTTTTTACAAGACAGCCATTAATCCGGTAGAGAATACTTATTGCGGTGATTGGGTCGTTTATTGCATTGTTTTGTAGTAATCTACGTTTACACGGTTTTGCTTGTAAAAACTAACAAAATAAAAAAAGATTAACAACAACAATAACAACAACAGCGTAAGAACTATAAAATATATGCATATGTATAGGTTAAATATAAACAATATCGCGAAGATAATAAAAAGTATCAAGACTTACAGCCTACGTTTAATTTTATTTACTTAAAGAACGTATGGAATGTAAAAAGATAAAATAACATAAAAATTCAACTAAAAAAAAAAATGTATTTATATATATATATCACATAAAAGCGTTTTTGTTTGCTTATAATTGCTGGACCAAATTGCTTCAGTTGACTAGTTGAAATAATAAAGTTAAAAAAAAAAGGAGAATGTTTTAATAGATTTTATTTGTAAGAAAATTGAAATAACTAACATATTTCGCAGCTAACAGTGATTTTTTTTTCTACTTATTATCTATACTAAAAAAACACTAATATTATAATATATTATTGCTTATTTTTGTCATTTACGTTGTCTTTTTTATTTTCGTGTAAACGAACTCGAGATTGTCATTGATGAACACAGTACAAGGACAATAGTATTAATTTTTTTTGCAGACCGAATACATAATATATAACAAATAATATATTATGGTCGTAGGTTTTGTATAAAAGGGAAGGGAGCTATTGCGATTTGTACAATATTATATCATCCATAGCATAATACAATATACGTACTCCACTAAGCCCTGAACACATTAGGTATGTGATTATAAATAAAAATTACAAAAAAAAAAAATATATTTAAAAATTATAATAATACCTAATAAAGTACATGATATGAAAACGATTAAATTTTATAGCGACAACTCAAGCAAGAATCGAGATGAACAGTGTTTTTTTTTTCGCTCTACGGTACACGTTATAAAATACCTATTGTGTCTCTAAAACACACTGTCGATATTCCTACACAGACGTTTTTTAAAGATTAAAATAAAATAAATTGTCCAAAATGTATGTTCATATGTGTTTGCGAACAAGTAACATACTACGCATTACATACATTGTTAGTGTTGTAACCCTAAATATATGTATATATATTTTTTTGTTATTTCAAAAATCTATTATTGTTTTTGAACAATGATGATTATTGATAACGATATTTCCAGCCCGCCCGAAAAACCACACTGTTCTATTTTTAACTGTCAAATTTTATTTTTTCCATGAAATAACATGAAAAAAACAACGACCGTCGGTTAAGTAATGGCTTCTTTTTGTACAAAAGTACAAATTCAAAGAATCTGTCTACGTCTAAGAGTGTGTGGTTTTCAGCACAGGTGCCTACGGGAATATAGTTATTATTAAACGACGACAAACAATAATATTTCCAAGCACTGAACTCAATATACCTAGGAAGCAGCCATGTTGTATATCAAAATATCATGGAATGTAAAAATGCCACCATAATTTTCCATGATAAATATTTAAATGCCAGGTTAGACGATGTCACGCATATAGATAATAAACAAGATCGCTCACTGTTATTTGTTGGCAATATAGAGTTCGGTGAAGCAAATTTTCCACCATCTTTATTAAATCAGTGTTTATATATTTAACAAAAATGTCTGTAAAATACACACTACCCAGATGGTCCGGTTTTTCGCTTCATCCGTTATCACAAGTTAGCATTCTAGTTTATTATCTATATCCGTGAGCGATGATAACACATCGGCACACACGGTGATAACGCAATCATAAATTATATTCGATCAATCGTGGAAAAACCCATAACAACTTGGCGGCCTCCCACTAGCGGACACTTTCATAAACGGCAAACTATATAGGCAATTCGCATTCCATATAATATTATCGAGTCCAGTGTTAATCCGAGAGATAAATTATTATTTGTTACCTACCTAAATGTAACGAGAAAATAAAAAAACATAGTAAAAAAATCGATTAACGTTTTCGTTGGTTTTTCAGTTTTTGATTGTTAACGCGTTTTTGCTCGATCGATTGAGGAAGTATCGATTTGTGTTTGGAATTTGTAAAACAAAAACCAAAACAAATAAAAAGTAATAGTAATAATAATAATAATAATAATAAAAATATTTATTCAGCCTTGATGCAGATCCTCTTCGCATTTGGGTATGTCGAATATTTCGGCGAACAGCGGCGGCAACTTAAGCATGTGCCAATTCGACCTGAACCATTCGAGATAGGCCACATGACGGCGGCCGATGGTCCTCAGTTCGGGCAATTTCGACAATACGGATTGTGCTAGATTTTTGTCTCCCCCGTGACTCTTGCTCAGCTGCAAAAATAATAATAATAATAAATATATTTAGTCGTTTATAAGCGAGTAAGAAAAATAATTTATGTTCTTCGTGCGAGACGCTCCAATCTTATCAAAAATTATTTCTTCGTTGAAAAATGTTCATGTAAAAATTAGGTTCCTTTTTGGCGGAACAAACAGCTGTAGCTTTATTTGTTACAAAGATAATACAAAACGCACTTTTTCCGGCCAATGGTGGTAAATTAAATAAAGCATTTTTCCTGAACAGTTTTCCAAAATTGTGATACATAATTACTTTAATGTACCGTTTATTTGCAAACAAGAAGGCGAACGACAGTGTGACCACTTTACAAGTCTATACTTTGTTTTTTTTATTTCTTAAACACTGCACAGTATAATCCTCACCAGCCATACAGATCAATAGACAAATTAAAATTACATATGATAATGTGATAATATTTCAACTAATTAAGTCATTAATTTTGTATCACATGGTTGTAGTAAAGAAACAAAATTGAAAATATTTACTAGAGAAATATAATTTCGTCATTCTGGTCACACTGCAGCTGGCCTGCAACTCCTTGGGTTAGGTATTATTATTGCTAAGTTGACAATTTTTTTTTTTTACATCAATCTGTACTACAATGGACGGTTTGATTTCATGTTGGGAAACAAACATTTTTTTTTTTAACAAATCTCGGTACACTAAATGTTTTTTTGTTGCAATTTTCATCCAAATCGGTTATGTGGTCTTCGAAAAAAAAAACCACGGACTTATATTGCACACTGGTCGAAAAGAAAATATACTTTTTTATTTTTTATTTTACAACGTTCAATTATACTGTTATTGTGTGTCGTGTACGCAACATTGTCCTCGCATTGGGCGCGTGCACGCTGTTAATTATTGCTGTATCTTCTTGGCGCGCAAAAAAATACAATCATAATACAAAATAAGGCAAACGAATTAATAAACAAAAAAAAACAAACGGAAAACAAATTTAAATAACAATCCGGCGACCACGATGTCACCTCGTGTGCACGGCGGTATTTGCTTCGAACGTCTCGGCGTACCGAGAAAAATGTGGCGAGCGCATTATTTTGCGATTATAGTTAACAGAGAAAAAAAAACATACAGACACACACTGCTTGTGTGTGGAGATTATGAAGGATAATAGGTCGTTTTAATCTGTGAATTGTTTCTGTGTACGACATCGACGACCGCGGATATCCGACAGCCGTTGTGTACCAAATTCTTGCAAATTAAAAATGCAAGTTTTTGCCCATAACTTTGTAATTTCACTACAGCAAAGCGAGTTTATACCGGGACGGTTTGACCCGGTCCAAAAGGAGATAACAGAGGATCTATACCGATAGAACAGGATCGACTGTTAAGGGATGATTAATCGGGGATAAAGTGTTTGTTGCGTCGTTGTCTAGTCTCGGGTGGTTTTTCGCGTTTTATGTTAACAATGTAAACCAAACGAGTGACTTACTTGTAACTTGAACGCTTCCACGATACGGTCCTGACTGTGCTGGACTGTCTTGACATCAGACACTCCCGGTCGGTCGGGCGTCAGCAAGACTATGGCGGCGAAAAGTCCGACTTCGGTGTCGGTCAACGACAGACTGTTGAACGACGTGACCAATTGAAAAACGTTAGTGGCGAATTCCACCTGGAAAAGTCAAAAGAAGAACAATTGTCGTATACAAAAAAAGGTTAAAACGTTGCGGTGTAGTAAATTGATAATAAGGTGTTGACCGATTGGCCCACGACGCGATTCCACACACAACAGCATTAGTTAGTGTAAACACCGGCTTAAAAGTAACCGCGAAAAGGTCTTTGGGCGAATTATTGGCACTATGGGCTATATAACGGATTCGAGTGGATAGTGTAAAATGTGAGTAATTGATTTGGAAACGAACATTTCGCCCGGACTGCGTTGACAGCATTCCGAATCGAGTTGACCCGAGGCTTTTATTAATTGCATTTTCCAGCACACTATGTGGTCTGTGTGTGTGTGTATTGCCCATTTGCCAAAGGGGCGACGTCGAAGATCAATAAACCTCTCCAATGTATTTTACGCTAATGGGTAATGTTTACGTGTTCGAAAAGCGTGTCAACGGGAAACGTGTGTCTTGTACCACTCCATTAAGTTCGTGACGTGCTACGTCGAACATTCAACGATTGGCGTTTTTTTTTTTTTTACCCTGCCAACTGCAATCGATTGTCTGTGTTATAGATAACAGCGCTGTTGTGTATACCGAGGTTTTCGCATTGCGACTGGGCGTTCTTCGTTTGGTCGCCGACAGTTTTAAAATGCCTACGATCGTCGCCGAGGATGTGTTGGCAGAGTTTGATTTGTTTAGGATCGGACACAGCGTTAAAAACAATCGTTGCCTCTATCTGGAAAACCTAGGAGCCGAGCGTTTTGTTTTTGGCCGAACAACTGTGTGTGGGACTCGCACGTGCGTCGGCGGTTGTGACAACAAACATGTTTGCCTACGTCGTAAATGAGTTCCAGTTGCTGTCTCGTGATGAACGTGCCGTCGTAGAAGGTCAACGAAAGGTCCGTGGCCAGTCTGGAAACGTAGCACAGCCACAGTTCGAAAAATCCCACTTTGATCAATATCAGTTGGTCGTCTTGACTGAGGTCCACGAAACCTGCAAGCAAAATACGGTCAATCAACGTCATTGCCCCGGCATTCGGTCGACCGTGTCAATTATAGTTACCCGGCACCCTCTTGGCGAACTCCACTACCCTCTGCACCGTCGGCGTGATGTGCGCGGCCAGCTGTTGCCATAGCCAGATCTTTTGCTGTTCCTCGCTGTCGGCCGTCGAGGAAGCCACTTCAGGACTAGAACAACCCTGGGCCGGCTAAAAGCGAAACGTATTTAGCAATTAGTTGCATGCATAACCTAACCATATTAGAGCAAAAATCCGCATTTCCCAAAGTTCCAGAGTTCGGAATTTTGCAAAACCGGATTTTGGAATTTAAAAACTCTTATTTAAGATATTTTGTTTATACATTACTTAAAAAGCGATATATACGGTTCAGAAATTAATTGTAAATAGAAATGAATTTAAAAATAACAAATACAACAAAAGAAAATGTCAAAACTATAACGATAGGACGTACACAATATCAACTCAATTATGTTGTATGAAATGAACAACTAAATTTATAAAATATATAAACATTAGTATTAAGTATGGGTTATCGAGAAATTGACAAACGATCTGTCAAGGCCAAAAGTGGTGTAAGTCGCGATAGTTCAAAGTTGAGAAACGTAAGGTTAAAGTATTAAAGTAACGGCTCAAATAATAGTTTTTATAGTGTATTCAGGTAATCCATTTGATGTAGGACACTCATTTCCTCGGAAAATATGAATATTTTGACAATTATTTTATAAGTATGGACTTGGTTATTTTCAAATGAGAACATATGTTTTTAATTCCATAAATATAAAGACAAACAATTAAAAAAATTGTTAGGGTTTTAATTTTTTAATTTTCATCAATCTCTCCGTTTGCTATGACAATGTAATGATTTGAATTTAAGATCAATATTCATTCGGTTCTGATAATAGTAGCCCAACAGATTCCTATTAAATAATAATATTGACCCTTTCAATATCCCTGTCACCGTTACTGTGTTTGAATAGGTAGATGAGGTCCGCTTGTCTATCATTATCTCAAAACATTTCGTCATGTCTGTTTATCTCGTCTATCGGACAATGCAAACATAAATATGAATTTTATGAAATACTGGAATTTAGAAAGCCGAAGTTAATTATCATATAATATGATAATTATAAGGGGAAATGTAATATCTTTGCAAAGTCATAACAAACGAACAGATTGATGAAATTTGCCAATGATTTGAAGCTGTATATGCAAATTCAATCACCCAGCGATTATTATAAATTGCAGTCTGATTTGGATAAATTTTAATGGCGGTCATTAAAAAACTGATTGCAAATTAATGAGAGTAAATGTTTACAAATTACTTTTACAAGAACTAAATCTTATAATTATCACCAGTATTATTAATTAATGGCTGTAACCTCATTGCTGTAAATCATGTTAAAGGTCTAGGAGTTTTCCTATCTAGTGATTTATCTTTTACGAGACACATCCCATGTATTTGTAATAAAGCTTAACGTACATTAGGAATTTTAAGACGGAATTGTAATGAATTTCAAAATATTGCATGTTTAAAAACTTTATATATTGCACTTTTCGGTCTATCTTGGATTATGGATCTATTGTATGGTCTCCATGAGTGGCTTGTGATGTTAACAAGATTAAATCTTTACAAATCGATTTTTAACTTTATTATCCTACAAGATGAATAATAATAAAAGTAAACACGATAAATTGCTTAATAATATAAAATGCATTTTCTTTTATGCAGAAGAAAATGTCTGGACAATTTACTAAATACCAGAATCGACTGTTCGAAAATGTGGAATTTAATACCCATAAATGTTTCACAAGTATCGCTTCGTTCCTGATTAATACACCTATATCCGTGCACAGAACTATAGTGGCAGTAAATAATTGATAAAGTAAACGCAAAACCAGCACGATGAAACCTGAAATTCGGATTTTCAAAACCCGGTGTTTTCGTGTAGTAATCCGAAATCCGGATTTTCGGATAATCCGTGTTCATGTCAGGACACGGGACACTTTTCTACAACCCCCCCCCCTCCTCACCCCCTCCCCTCGTGTTAGGTGCAGTGCTACTCACGGGCGAAGCGACAGGTTTCCGGAGCAGCGTTCTGGTCAGCTCGTCCGTGTAATCGCAGTTGGTGAGATGAGCTTGCGATATGGCGGCGATCACGTCGTACGACACCGACACGCTGCCGCAGTTGGTCTCGATGACGGCCGCCGCCGCCGCCGCCGCCGCGGTGGTTATCGCTTCCGGGGTGACCGCGGCTATGGTGACCGGCGCCGACGGGGTAGTGGTCGTAGTGGTTACCACGGCCGCGGTAACCATCGAGTCGGCCGCCGTCACCGTTTTCGTTTCCGAGTCGAGCTGCTCGCGGGATCTCTTCGGCACCCTTCCGTATCGAACGGCTGTTGTGAACACACACAAAACACACAAACGTTTGTTAGCTATTTGCGTCGAAAAATAAAATTCGGTTCGTTAATTAGAGTGGCGAGAAACAAAAAAAAACTAGTTGTTTTCTGCGAACAACATCGGACCGTGGATACCTGTTTCGGTATATCTGTTATCACACTCTATCACTTACCGCGTGAAAGTGAAAGTGTAACGCGAAAACGGCAACGTACAATATTTCTATTGTATCCAGCCCAATATCCATGTTAATTTTATTGTGCGTTTCGTTGAAACGTTATTATATTTTGCCAAAGTTGCATTATTTCGAGTCGCGGGGTGACTCGTAATCGTTTACCGGTCCAGATAAAGCAACTATTAGTCAACTGTGACAATATGCGTGAACACTATTGATTGTTATTTCTTTCAATTAAATACTCTGTTGTATGATAGTTACCCCGTGCGCGACGAAAGTGAGTTACACAACGTGCACGAGCGCAATTATATTGCCTATCTTACTAATCGAACGGTTCCAGCACTTAACTCTTAACTGAATGCGTTCTACCTTTGTACAATAAAACTAAGCAAAATATTAGATTAATTGGTTTAGACGATCACCATTAGACGTACGTAGTAAATCTATGACAATTTTTTTTACATATAATGGGATTTTAGATACAAATTTAATAACACTTTTGCTTTATCTTGGTTTTGGTTTTGGTTTCTGGCAGACTACAGCGACGGAAGAGAGTAGAATAACAGCTAAAGATAATGTAAAAGGATGTGCGTTGAAAAGGGCTATTAAACTCTACGCGATCACATTGAGAGTGAACAATAAATGACGATAGTATAGTATAATAATATTCAATTTCTAAAGAGTTATACAAATAATAATCAAAAAACGCAGAGTCAATGACACGTCCACGTTGCGTACTAATACAAATTATCAAAAATAAAATCAGGTTTTGAAAGTATCAAAAAAACCTTATATAAAACTCACTTACTTTATACATCAATAAGTATTTGTAATTTTTTATTATGATTTTTAATTATTTATAATATAATGTAAAAAAAAAAAAAAATGAATAATCTCTTAACTTTCTTTTTTTATCTACATTATTGTTTTGTCGAATAAACGCTTAACCAAATAAAAACCAAATTAAATCATGCATACATTAATAAATTAAAGATAATTAATATTCAAATGAGAAAAACGAAAACACGCTTTTCGACTTTGGGACTATTTACCAATGCGTTTTAATGCTGCCATTGGTGTTTCTTGCAATTTGCATCAAAGTGCTTTGCAACTTGTTCAAGTAACGGGTGATTTATTTAAATAGACCCTATCGCTTCGAAAGTTTGTTTAAATAACTTTTATATTTGATTTATCTAACGCAAAATTTCATTGAATATTGTACTAATTAATTTAAGTAAATCGAACATTACCCGTACCTACGATTGTACTGCGGTTGTAAATAATTGTAATTCATTTCAGGCATTTAACAAAAGTAATAAAAAAAAAAACACCGGCCGTCGCGTCGGTGTTATCATATTATTATAATATACTGTTTACAGCAGACGGTAATCAAATTTTATTTACTAAAATACATTTTTTTTTTAAATAAACACATTTATATGGTATTAATTTTTTTCACCCCCAAGTAAAATCATTTCTTGTGTGTTATGCAAATTGTAGTGTATTTATTTTGCTTATTATTATTGAAACGCGCCTGCACGAGGCAAATCATTGTAATTGACTGCGATGTAATCTCTAGTTATGTTATATTAGTTTCTGGCAAACGTGTTTAGGAACCAAACCTCCGACTGATTATATGTGTATCTACGGATCGTGTAACATGAAGTATTTTATAATTGAAAACCATACCCTAGGGATGATGGTGGTCGTGACTAAGCCATTAACGTGGCAAAATTATACCGTCGTTTACAGCCGACCATACGTGGTTCGTTATTTTAATTTTCCAATTAGGACTTGACGCACAATTTACTGTTAAAATTACATTTTACATCAATTCGGCTTGCTTATACCGGAACACATTAAGGAGACTAATTTTATTTAAATTTATAATAGAATCGACCGTCGAAGTTATGGATAAAGCTCAGTCCCGCATCAAAAAGCTAATATTATAATAGCTATTATTATATAATATAATGTTAACTAATATTACAGTATAGCATAATAACTGTTTAACTACCTTTTACTAAATAAAAAAAATACAGAAATTTCATGTACTTGGACTACAAAATACCGAAAACGGAAAATCTATTTCAAATGAGTCTTTTTGAATATTTCACTTCAAACTCTATACATTCCAGTAAATTGCGTTTAAATATTTCAAGAGATTTCGAAAAACATTAAACGAACATTTGGTACGGTTAACATATTGTTAAAATGGGGTTTTTTTTTTCAAAAAAACATTTGTAAAATGATATTTTATTATAATATTATTGTGAAAAAATTAGGTGCACATATTTATATTCATATTTCATATTTTTAACTAACGTTTTTAAAAATGTATTAGACAAATATTCGCTATTTTTTATCGTATGAAACCGTTTGAAAATGTTTACAAATTTATCGTTGTATGGAACTTTAGTTTTTACATTAGCTTCTTCGAAAACGCTTTCGGATACGAAAAAAAAAATTAAAATTACTTAAAACACTGCCCGTCGACAGTGAAGTGTTTCCACCGACAATATATACATATATTATATATTATTATAATATAGATAATATATGTATATTATATATAGTTATGTATATTGGCCATTATGTAAATACATAATACTATTATTTGGCTTCTGGGTGCTTTTATAATATAATTAGGTATATTTAGTTGGACGTATGCGTCCGCTATGGTTCATTAACGTGTCTGTTTTAATATTATAAACATTATATGCACCGTGTATAACTTTTGTAGTTGACGTGCAACTCTCCAACGTTATTTTTTAATTAAAAATGTTAATACATTTTTAGGTAGGTGACCTAACTACTATCTCGGGGATGCAGCGATGCGCCCCCCATAATCCAATTTTGCCTTCTGTACAAACACACACACAGTACCTACCTACCTTATTATTCTAGTCAAATGTGTGCCCGCGGTTTAGCACTTTTGACACCGGATTTTAGAGTTCAGTGGCCGAAGATCAACTTACACACACACACACATACGGTTAAACATAATATGAATCTACATATTATATTTTAGACACAGTCGTTGTCCAAAGACAAAAAAAAAACACCTACGGCCGGCGCACACCTTTTGCCACATGCCATTGCCTTCGCCATGCGTGCCAAATGTCATACGGCTTATACAGGGGGATTCGTCAAGGATAAGACACTGGTTTCCTAGGGTTAACCCTATTCGCTAAGAATTGCGACTGGTCGATGACTAGTTAGTTTCCAAAGATAATTACTTTTCAAGTTACTAAAGTTTACCTGACCCTCCTCCCGTCGTAAACTTTAATAACGTCAAAATTAATTATCCAAAAGTGGTTATCGGCCAGTTCAAATGTTTAGGCAATTATTCTTGATTTTAAAAAATTATGTATAATATACGTTATCGCTTAGACCGGAAAAGTCGATAGAGCTCTGGAAAAATACCAAAAAAAAAAAAAGGTTTAAAATTTAGTTGTTTTATACATTTATAGTATTGTAAAAATAACAAAAACAAAAAGAAAAAATGTTCAAAAACATAAACTACACGGTTGCAATTGTTTTCAGAAAACATGATCCGTCTCGTTCTTAATGAATCGCCCTGTTTCATAGGATGACGTCGTTTGTACAACAACCATATTACCTTGCACTTGATATTATGCGTACGGATGTGATTACCATAATATGTTTTATACAGCGACAAGTGAAATTATACTACTTACAAATTGGAACGACCGTGTGACATCTGACACGAATTACACGTCCGGTACATATTCACTCAGACCCTCTTCGTCGAAAAGCCAACTAAGAAGGAAATACAAAAAAGAAAAACTTTTAGGGCAACTCAAAAAACCAGACCTCAAAATCCCAATTCCTAGTTGCTGTGATAACTACCCAAAAACGATGCCATAACGTTTATTTGGAAAACCATTGAATACTCTTGCTTTTGCTGCCAATCATTTCGTTTTATTAGAAACAAAGGTACCCTTTTTTAATCAAGTTATCCTTATCCTATCTAAAAATCGCCTTTTATTATTATTATAATTTTTTTTTTATATGATTTATACTTACTTATAAATAACACCACTAAGTTTTTAATCGTTAATCAACCGAAATAATGAGTTGATATTATCAATAAAAAAATCATGGCTCGTTTAAGCCGTGGGCAAATCTAAGAAAATGACCAAAAACTGAAAAACGTATAGACCTGATATTCTTTTTAACTGTTCACCTTTTAACCAGTACAGCAATTATCTAAATCTGTTTAATAAGTAGAGGTCAACTGCTGAATGGGGATATGTACCTTTACAATGGTGCTTGAGCTCATGTTAGGTTGCTTGAGCATCAATAATAAAACAAAACCTCCCCCCTCCCCCGGTACAAAATCTTGTCAAATAGGAATTTATTGGTCTCAAGTCTCAACTCGAACGGTAAAACTGAATACAAGCTAGTGATTTGATTTAGGTAACTAAAGCCATTGTCGAGACGAAAATGGTTACTACCCGTTGTGAACGAATAGTGTCTCAGTTAGACATTCTACAACCAATTTTATACTTATAATCCATTATTCAGTACCTTATACTCACGAAAGAGGTGATTGAGACCATAGATAGCAATGTGTTTAAAAAATAAATTAAAAGCGCTTTTGTTTGGAAAACGATAGAATTCTCTAGTATAGTACAAAGAAATTTATCAAGACAATGCAACAATCTAAAGGTCTGATAAATGTCTGTATCAATACCTAGCTTTTGACCGTCTGGACCTAACCGCAGGTGTAAGACTGACATAGGCTGTTTCGTTAATAGAATAATAATTTATGTTTCTAGTCGGAAAACGATTGTACTTAGATGCAATATGCTTGATAAATGGACGGTTAACGTAGTAAGTTTTTCATTTCAGTTGCTCCGGCGTGGCTTTGAAAAGTGTTTATTTTTCAATCAAGAGGGTTTTTGCAATCTAAGTATATACGTGACCGAAATTCAATTAACGCGTGTCGAGTTATTAGGATTTAACGTTTAGGCGAGGAAGCAAATGCGGATATAAATAACACTGCAATCTACCTCGTTAAATGCTAATAACACGAAAGGTATTCATCCAAAACTGGTTATCGACCGGTCATTACATCATCGGTCATTTTGCATTACATCACACTGCTTTTCGGTTAGGTACACCCAAAAAACAGATGACTTTTAAAAGTCACTCCTTCGTGTTACCCTTTCAAAATATTGTTTTCGACTAGAATATTGTATACACATACAATAAGGATTTTATTTCAAACTAGTGCCGCTGAAATCATAACTATATACTTTCATAGAAAAAATACACACCGTAACATTTGAAATTTGAATTGCCCTATGCACACGTATAGTGTATATACTTACAGTCTCTGGACATGCCCACAGTCAGGCATTTCTTGAAACGACAGTACTGGCATCGGTTTCGGTTTAAACGTATTACCAAGCATTTTCCGTCCCTCAGACACCGGTATTCGATTTGTTTTTGTATGCTCCGCCTGAAGAAACCCTGTGAAGCAACAAAAACACACAGTTGAGTACACAATATCATAATATAGTATATTATTAATTATTATCCACGGACATTGGTCTAGGTTCGACTGAAACTGCTTTGTCAGGTCTACAAACAGCTTAGGTTGTGCTTTTATGTGTGGTTTTTATTTTAGATTTTTTTTTCAAGTCTCACGCTAAAAAATTGATTTTTGTTATGTTGTAATTTATGTAAAATTCGAGCAAAACTCACAAAAAAATACAACACGTGAAGCAAAGCCTTCCGAGTATTTTTTCGCCTAATTAACGATTCAATTAAAATGTATTTTAAGTTTTGATTTCAAGAAGGCCATAACCTATACCGTGTTACACGATGAATATATTATTATATTTTTAAACAATCTTATACGTTTACACTTTCAATGAGCTTTCTGTAAAATAACAATATAACGTACTTAACCAGAACGGTAACTAACAACGTGGTGATTGGACAAAAAACTAAGAGTTGATATTTTCTAAAAGTATTTTGCAATTATGCAAATCAATTTTACTACCGAAATAATAATATATTATTTGATATGTCTACAAAAAAAAAAAAAAATGATTTGATCACTATCAAGTTTAATGACCGCCTCGACCACAATTTTGAAATGAATATGTCTTACCTCGTGGGTCATTCCAAAATTTGCGTCAAGTCACGGAATATGTAAGTACATTATAAGAGATTGTAGTTAAGAGATAACAGATAAGAGATTAGAGGTATGAGACAAGAAATAAGATATTAGAGATCTAAATGGGGTGGATAGCAGGGAAGGCAGGAGTAGGCTAAAAGGTAAAAGAGGAGGATAGGAAAAGAACCCCCCTCTCTTCCCCTGATCCCTCATCGGCTAATCCACCTAGTCCTATCTCTACTCTCCTTACCAACGTGCTTGAAGCGATACGAAAGTTAAATTTAAAAATTAATTAATAGATTTTTTGACATGGATGTGCCTAGATTTCGTCTTTCAGCTTCCAAAGACTACCTTACGGTTTTTAAAATTCATATTATGTTATTGGACCGGATACAAGAAATTTCGTGTCACCATTTTCGCGCTACACTTTCACGTGATAAGAGATAAGAGATTAGAGATAAGATATAAGTGATAAGAGATAACAGATAACAGATACTAAAACATCCAATCCTCGATTCAATGTTTTCCCGTAGAGCAGAGAGAAAAACTAGTTTTTTTTTTTTTTATACTGCTCTGGTGGTTAAATTGTGCTGGAATCGCCATCGTTTTGTCTAGACAAACACCGTACGATCAAAACTACTTTTATCTTGATCGAACTAGTCACAATCTCTATCTACGATGATATTTTCTTGTGAAGCGAGACGGATCACGCCGACCCGCATCGGGTACTGCGCGAATCTCGTCGGATGTAAAACGATAATACTATATAAAGAATGCATTGCCGTTACACAGTATTTATTCTTAATATTGCGAACGTAAAAGGAGAAAAAAACGACGAAGGTCAAAGAACCGGATAATCCAACGGTAACCGTATTATATCCGCACCTGCTCGTTTTTCCTCTAATAAACGTTTTCAGCAAAAAAAAAAAGAATCACACTTACTGCCCTCTCGCCCACTACCGAAAATATATTATAAGGCACCACACCCGTTTTAAAGCGAGCGCTAGTTTATTTTAAACGGTCAAGTATATAGTATAAAAAAATGTTTTTTTTTAAATTTTAAATCTCATCTGGTTAATAATTTACTATGCTCGGGAAATCGGTCGGCGCGGTATCATCATTTTATACTAAATAGGTTTGTTGATTACATGGAACACTATGGAAGTGGCTGGATGCAAATTCTTCATTCATCTTCTCGGTCAATTATTGCCGTTTTTTCATCTACTTAATGTCTTATGACAGATTACTTACCAAAAAAAAAAAAAAATACTACCTCTTTCACGCTCACACGTTCTACTCATAGGTATGTTTATATACTATACATAATAAGAATACATGAATGTGTGAGCGGTGTGTGTGTATCTAACTCTTATTAACGACGCGAGTTGAATAACACATATGGACATGGTGAAGTCAACGCACTGTCCGTACGCATACTAATATATATATACATATAATTATATCTCTCAAACACAATATATGTAATGTACACAAGTACACACATACATACCCGTCTCACTTCAATAATTATAATCCGGTTAAATTAATTAGCCGTCCGCGGTTCTTTATGGAAAACGTTCGGTGAATTATTATTATAACAGACTCTGGGCGTGTTCGTTTAACAGCTAATAAAATATTGTATTATCTATTATAGTACATGCGAATGCGGTATTTGCGGTTTAAACAAAGAGGATATCAGTTTGTTTTTTTTTTATTTCATAATATACTCACAACGGTTTGGCTTGTGTGCTTAGTGTATATAGACACTATGCTAGCAGAAAAACTACTATAAGAGCCGGACGGAGGAAAAAAGTGTTTGTTTATAAGGCGTTATCCGACAAAGTCACTCCGGATTAACGGTAAAAAAAAAAATCAATTGCTTTAACCTTAAGCACACACACAAACACCTGTCCAGATAAAATGACCGTTTCCGTTTGCATTTATGTGGAATGTCGAGGGAAGTTGACTTATTTTACTGGCAAGTTTAAGGTAGAGTGAATGATCTCAGATGCAATTTATCTTTGAAATTGTACAGAGTAATTTAAATATAGTTTTACCCTTCTTCTGTTGAAATAAACTTAAACTTTTTATCCGTTTTCGAGTGCTACAACATAATGATATAATAAGTCTTTCATAACAGACTTTGGAAACGGTAGGCTTACGAACAGTGTGTCCAGGAATTTAATTAACCGGTAATGAATATTATTATTATACACCAGCGTATGTCGACCAAGCGACTTAGACCTTTGTTGTTTTCCTTAATTAAATTTAACGTCGAGAATACAAAATCGCGGTCTTATAAGGGTTGCACGAAGTTATCTCATGATTCGCCATAGGTGTAGTATAAAACGGTTTCACATTATATATCAAGGTAAAAACATCAGGTCACTTTACGCTTTACAACCATATATATTAAGTAGAGTAATAAAAAATATAAATCAAGAATAATTTGCGGTGATTAAAAAACAATGGACATGATATATTTTTTATATCTCTAGTCGAAAAATATTTTAATTGAGAAGCAAGAATTACATTTTTTAGCGTTGCAAAACCTCAAGGCACGCTCTAATCCCATCCGAAATAATTTTCAAATGTTATGAGTGTTTCACGAGTACACTTAATTCTTATGGCATGCACTTACGGTGATTAATATTGAAATATTAATGCATGTAAAAAAAAAAAAGGTTATAAAATGGATACACAAAAGTGACAATATGATGCAATATGGATTTTTGAAACCATAGTTCATACATAAGCGATGAGGTATAAAAATAGCGTTACCGAAGTACCATTGCAGTTTTCTTTATTTTCCTTTTTTTTGGTCGAGAATTTCGGATTAAACGTCTGGACTTATAAGCGATAACCGATTTGGTATGTGACTCAAGCTCTACGGTATTCATGTTTTAATGTATAATAAAACAACTTTGTATTTGGACTTTAAATCGTTTATTACCATTTCTAACGGCGGTTGTTGGGACTCGGTACTTAAAACAAAACGGCGGTGTTTATAATATTAACATGGACACGTTATTGGGCCGGATACAAGACATTTCATGCCGCCATTTTCGCGTTACACTTTCACTTTCAGTTAGAGATAATAGATAACAGATAAGTGATAAGTGATCAGAGACAAGATATAAGTGATAACAGATAAAAGATTCCGTGTAGTGGAGAAAACAACTAGGTCTTTTTGTTTGTTTACCTTGCAGCCTTCACACGATGTGACTCCATAGTGGTATCCTGAAGCCTTGTCGCCGCACACACGGCACGGCACGAACGATTTAGCAGGCGTGGTGTTGGAATCGGCTGCCGCAAAATGTTGATCTACAAAAAAAAATATTTGTATATATTAATGAAAACTAATCGAAAAATACGGACAACTTAGCCAAAACTTAACTGAGTAGGTAAGTAAAAGGAACCATGGATTTTAGTTTTTTTCTACAAGCAACGTGTAAAAACCAATTAAAAGCATTTACTTGGAAAAGTTATCTTTTATATGTTTTTTTATTAAAAATAGGAATTTTGATCCAAGTTTTTTGCATTTGGCTTTTGGATATTTGTTTGAAGCGCATTGTGATGATAATGCATACAAATAGGCTTTATTTTCAGCCTATAATAATTTGTTGCTGTTGTTTCGCACAGGTCGTAATTAACAGTAGTAGGTATAAAACAATTTTTCGGATACCTGTTGACAGTTGATTCACTCTCTCAACATAGCAACCTAGAAATTTACTACAATCAAAGTGTAATTTTTTCTATTTTTACAGACTGTTGAGAAAATTTCACAAGTATTATAACAGCCCCATTTCTAGATCTACCTTCAGTCTAATTTTCAGACCATAAACTCTATTATTTCATATTAAAAAGCCACTTAACGAAGGGGTTTCTAGAAATTTGGAACCCATTCTTCTACTACTTTTGAAAAAGTCATGGCGCGCTGTAATTTTAAGTTGAAAAATAATATGGAAAATTATCATGAATATGTTATTAAGCTGGATACAAGAAGTTTCATTCATCCATTTTCGCGTTACACTTTTACTTTCAGTTAGAGATATAAGAGAGTCAAGAGATAAGTTATAACGAGATAACATATAAGTGATAAATGAAACAAGATATATAAGTGATTAGGACAAAAGAGATAACAGGTATATCGTAGGGATATTATATAATATAACGATATAGTATACAACAGCGTAATAATAGGGAATACCTAGTTTTTTTTTTTTTTATATTGAAGGGGTGAATTTTTTTAAACTTTTTATCCAATAACCGTATCTTTCAGGAACAATTTCTGATCTACAGATTTGCTACAAGCAGAAATTTGCTCAGCCGTTTCAAAGATATCGAGAAACAAAAAAAAAAAAAAATTAAAAACACTCGATTGTACTTTTACAATGTGATGTGAAAAGACAATACCTTCACGGCTCCGAGCACAGTTCGCCCGCAGACATAACGAACGGGTCGTCCCGGACGACAACAATGACTATTAGGGAAAACTCTGCGTGTGTGTGTGCATGTACATGTATACACACGCTTATACGTTAGGACTCTACTCACCCGACCCACCCCTTCGGCCCTTTCCCTCGGAGGGGGGGGGGGCAGAGAACGGTCGCTTTTGGTACCGAGAACGACCACCATCGATCCGGCACTCGGCACAGACGGGCAACCCCGGCCGGTAGTGTATCCAAGTAACTAGGTCGCCGCCACTCGCCAGACCTGTCACGCCCTACATTCTGCGCTTTCCCCTCGTTTCCGCGTACCCGCCCGCCACGACCACCCCTCTCTCCGGCCGGTATACCGCGGCAAGCTTGCATATCATACACTATTTATGGCCACGGGTATAATAATAATATAGATACACAAACGCCACCGCCACCGTTTCCACCCCCGCCACGAACGTCAACGATAAATCAAGTCCCTCCCCCCCCCCCGGTCGCTTTTGAAATAGTTACGCGAAAAACACCATCGAACAGAGATATTACAATGTGCAATAACATTATTGTGAATTGACGATTCGTCAGAAGTGGGAAACTTGATCTTGGAATTTGTATCTCATTTGCGGATTTTGGTCGAGTATGAAGGGGAAAAAAAAGGGGTGTCGACGACAGAAATAATGTGTATGATTAGGTATTGAAACGGGCGTTTTTCATTAATATTAGGTAGTTTTTTTCGATCCGACGACCGCAATCCTCGAGCAAAGAAAACTACATTTTCAAACTTCTTTTCTCGTTAAGTTACTACAAAAAAAAATAACGTAAATAGCAACAAGGTTGAATCGGAAGTTACTAATGTAACGTGGTAACTAAAAAGTAACTGATTTTGTAACTTCGTTACTGCTGAGTTTCGTAGTTTTGGTACTTTTGAAAAAATAACATAGATCCTTGGTTTATGACCAACACGGCCTTTATATATCTAACTAAACAAAGTAAAAAAAAAAGAATGAATAGATGTAAAATCAATAGAATAACGGGTTTTTACTAAAATAAATAATCAACAAGTTTATTGATATGCAATATATTAATGCAATATCGCAAAATTAAACACACATAAATTGTTGATTTTTTTTTTTTTTTGCTAACCGAAAATGGCTTTTACATTTGCTCCGTTTTAATATTTTTGGACGACACACTTTGTCTAACTCGTGTCCGCGTTGAGGCGATTCTCCTAACTTATAATAATTATCGTTATGTAATATATTTTTCTCGTTAGAAATTATACAGATGCAACAGATAAACAGGGGAGGGGATCTGGGCCTCGTGGATAAGGAACCAATCGTATCCTCCTCGCTGACTGTAAGAAAAAAAAAATCAAAACAGTCCTACGCACACACGAAGCGGATAAAAGATGCACGTGTACAGATTTTACGGACGGTTCCTGGTATGCATATTACACTGCACGTATATCTCTATGTATAGGTATATATATATATATACACACACACGGAAAGGGTAATATTATTGTATCGATGGCGTAATAGCCCGGCTATAGGTGTAGCAACCGGACGCGGGAGAGAGTGAACTGTGAAGTACTTACACGCTGCATCAGCAGGTGCTCGTGCCGGTCCCGGTGCACCAGTGATCGTGTTTTGTATCTGGTCCGGCGATCGTGACAGTAAAGAAACAAAAAAAATATAATAATAAACGTATATATAAAAAAAAAAAAAAAACAATACGTTGGCGATTCCCAGATCTTATCGGAATTTCGTGGTTCGTCTAAGAAAGCAATATTTAAACAAAACTAAGAAATATGTGAGAAACGTTATTTCTAGGTTGCTATCGACCAATAGCCATTACAATAAGAATTTGTTTAGGAATTGACCAATGCTGCGGTGTATGTACTTTAAACGTTTCATCTTTACAGAATGCACAATACACGCGGACGATGTCGATAGTTATTTTACGAGTAGCTAGAAGGTAAAATGTAACGTGAAAGTGACAAGAGTTATGGACTTTTGTAACTTTCGCGTTACTTTTTCCTAATTTGTAACGTGTAACATATAGTTATTAGTTACAATTTATAACCTCCAATGCAATTATTATGAAATATATTAACTTAGTTACTAAAAAATCAGTAACGAGTTTTACTTATTATTTTATTAAATACAGAGTTAGCAAAAATATATAAAATATAATCAAAAATCATATTTTATATTCTACAGAGTCCCTCGAATCTTGGATCACAATGTTGTGAATAGAAAACCGAATAGATGATTTTTAAATTAATTAATCTCAGTGTAACACACACACATATTGGATTGGCCGTTAGGTACTTTATGCTGTTCAAACGATCACGGCAAATGTCATAACAACCAATATTGTAATCGACTTGGAAAGTAAAAGAAATTATACACTGTTCACTCCAGCTATTGGCATAATAATATTGTGCAATGTTATGCATCACTGGATCGGCCGAAACGTTTGGTACGATATTCTAAATTTTATATATATATATATATATGCAAAACGAATTGGCCAACTCTGTTGATTATTACAATGTTATTCGGGTAAACGTTCAACTATATTAGCAAGGTTGGACCGGTTACGGTTCATGATAATAACTCGGTTAGGCTTTTAAAAAGCTAGCTAGTTAAATCTTAAGAGTTGAAAAAAATATCATTTGTTACAACGCCAAAGAAAGAAGATAGAGTTAATTTACGTTGTTGTTAAATAATGTGTGGTTGAGCTAATTATAAGAAGAAAAAAAGATATACTAAGTCAAAACTCACGGTATACTTTTTAACTTAAACTTATGAACATTGTCAATAAAGGAGAGCGTTTAAAACTTTTTTATTCCGCAAGAAGTCACATTTAAAGTGCTCGACTCGGGCTAAACATACGACTTGTATGATAATAAAAAATATGATTTTTTTTTTATCTAAGAACGTGCGCACAGACGCCCCCAGCTTTGTTGGCACGCCCGCATTGGTCAGTGTAATATATTTATGATGGTACGGTTTAGCTTGTAAAAATTCCTAGACCTCCCGGTAACGCACACCTCGGTGGAGGAAATATAAAATGAAAAAAGTTGTTGTTTTTTTTTTTTTTACTACAATACTCTTTTGGCCGTAAACGTTAATCGATTTTTTTAACGGGCGTGTAATCATGGCGGGCTAGACGACAAATTAAACATTATAGGAAATGTGAGTGTATGTACCTATGCACAAGACTGAAACGTCTGAGGTGTTAAGAAAATGACGAATCGTGACCACGCACAAATGCCCGACGACGCCGTCTAAGGGAGACAGCCGGTGGCCGTTAATGACTTGGAGCCGCACCTAGCGTGGGATCTGGCGGTAGTACCAAATAATACACAGCACATATTGTACAATATACATATATCTGTATATCCACACACAAGTCAGACTGTATGTGTGTACACATCGACCCGTGCAAGTCGATTACAGTAATGACTGTTATGACATTTGCCGTGATCGTTTGAACAGCACGCGCAGCACAAAGTGCCGAACGACCAATCCAATGTGTGTGTGTGTGTGTGTGTGTATTACACCGAGATTGATTAATTTAAAACTCATCTATTCGGTTTTCTGTTCACAACATTGTGATGCCAGACATTCGACCGAATAGAGTGAACTCTGTAGAACATATAATATGATAACTCTACAATATTTAAGTGCCAATCCAGAAAGATTAGGTTAGGTTAGGTGCCGTCAAATTTAAATTTAAAATTATAAAAAAAAAGAGTCTTTGTAAACGTATAATTTTATATTATATATTTATATATTATGGCTGAACTCTAAACAACACATGTTACTTGTTGACATACTCCTACATTTAAATTACATTTTTCACTAAATTTTAATTTAA